AGATTCAGAATCTTGGGGCTACTGAGGATAATAATGTACCTATTCCTAATTTGAAATTCAAGGTTGATAATGGTCTTCTCAAGTATAAGGGTCGAATTGTATTGAGTCCTACCAGTACTTGGAGGGAAAAAAGCGACAGACTGTAAATCTGTTGAAGTTTTTCTCTCAGAGCACCATGCTACTCCCACTGCGGGCCACGAGGGGCTTTTGAAGACTTAAAAAAGAATATCTAGATGCTTCTACTAGGAGGGAATGAAGAAGTTTATTAAGGAGTTGGTAGCTTGCTGTCTTACCTGTCAACAAAATAAATATGAGACCTTGGCACCTCCGGGATTTCTACATCCTCTCCTTATTCCTACTAGGGTTTGGACTGATATCTCTATGTACTTTATTGTAAGTCTTCCTCTTTGCAAAGGTAAATCTATCATTTGGGTAATGGTTGATAGATTCTCTAAGTATGCTCATTTTACAGTCTTAAGTCACCCCTATTCTGCATCCATGGTAGCACAGTTCTTTATTGACAATATCTTCAAATTACATGGAATGCCTCAATCAATAACAAGTGATCAGGACCCAGTTTTCTTAAGCAAGTTTTGGAAGGAATTCTTTTGTTTGCAAGGCTCTTCTTTTTGTTATAGTTCGGGTTACCATCCACAATCAGATGGCCAGACATAAATGGTTTATAGATGCCTTGGGGACATACTTGAGATGCTTATGTTGCTTGCAACCGAAGAAATGGGCTCTTAAGCTTTCTTGGGTTGAATGGTCTTATGATACCAGTTTTCATTCGGCTACAAAAATGACACCCTTTGAAATTGGTCAGCTTTTGAGGTTGGCACTACTAAGGTGGATTCAGTGGATCGTTCTTGAGAGATAGGGAAAAAATGTTGACCTTGCTGAAAAGCAATCTAGCACTTGCTCAAGGTAGAATGAAGGCACAAGCTGATAAACATATGTCTGAGAGAGTTTTCAATGTTGGCGATTGGGTTTACTTATGACTAGTTCCATAATAGCATTTATCATTAACCTCTCATCCATTCCACAAACTCCAACCAAGGTTTTATAGACCATTCCAAGTTCTAGCTAAGGTGGGACCTATAGCTTACAAGTTGCAGTTACCTGAGCATTGTAAGTTGGATCTTGTCTTTCATATATCTTGCCTAAAGAAGCAGTTGGGAGCTAATGTTCAAGCTACTGTGAATTTGCCAATCATTATAGATTCAGGAATACTTAAGGATGCACCAGTGGCCATTTTGGATAGCAAAATGATAAAAAAGAACAACACTGCAGTAACTGAGGTGCTACTGCAATGGCGGAACCACTCGAAAGAAGATGCAACTTGGGAATCTTATCAGGAATTAAAGCTCAAGTTTCTAGAAGTGGTGCAATTATGATGATCAATTGGCAAAGTGTCATTTCTATCATTAGTTTACAAATTTTGTTGTATTTCTATTATTGTTCAGTATGTTGATGCACAAAACCGGAGGGTTGGAACAACATAAATCGGACCGTGAATCTGCAAGAAAGTAAAGAACACAAGATGTATCGTGGTTCATCCCAATGTTTGGGCTACGTCCACACTGATGTTGATATTGTTTCACTCTGAATGGTGAATATACAAGAAGGCTAGAGGCAGTGTGCTCTCTAGCCTATTTTTTGTGTTTGCCCTCTCTGAGATGTTTTCTCTCTTCCCATGGCCTAAACCTTGACCTCCTCTAATGAGGAGAGTGAGGAGTCCTTTTATAGAATAAGAACTCCTCACTTATTATATATTTGCCCCTTCATTTATTACATAATTACATTTGAGTCCCCCGAGTATTTATACGAGGTCTAAATACGGAGGCCCTAAATATGGTACGAACACAGTACAATTGGGACAATACCACTTATGTTTTGAGGTGGGGTATTGATAGGACACTCTAATAGCATCATAAGATTGTGACAAGTGTATGGTGGATATGAGTTAGTTAGAGGCTGTTAGAGAGTCTTGGAGGGTAGTTACTATAAGAAGAGCATTGTAATTGATAGTTGGACAATTATGGAAATAATAGTGGAATTTTGTTAGTCATTCTCTCTATGTGCAATCACAAAGACATAGAGCAAGGAACCTATCAAAATTTCCCATAGCCTCTTCAGGTTCGGAAATGATAAATAACTATGGCTTGCCATCAATTGTTCCCCTTTTGCACATAAATAGTTGAGGAGGGTTAGAGTGACAAATGTTCTTTACTCTTTGGAGATGCCCTAATATTTTCCATGGACACGTTTACCTTTGAGGTCATGAATCAGCTTAAGCTGAGTAGCTCATGAACTGCCACAGCCGATTGTCCATTACGTATATATGGTGCCCTAGATTTGCCCTAGACTCATAGGACACTTTTATTCAAGCCACAAACCATTAGGGTCTGTTTTCCTCAATCATCTAGTTGAACTAGCTTGTGAAATGCATGTATGTACCTTAATTTGTAAAGTCTCATGGAACTAAAGATTCGTTGGATACTAATCCATGTGATAGGCATGGTCAAGAAATCAACTGTGTGCCCAGCCATTAGGGCTCTCTGTACACAAAAGCAAAAGCAACCAATTCAAATCTCCTTTTTCTTCACCAACAATATTTCTTTTGATTTGTTGTGGTACTTCGCTTTTTGATCTCTCCCTGCTTTCACATGGATTGCTCAAACTTTATATTTTTCTTCTGCCAAATATGTCGCAGCTATGCAACCTCCAGCCACTATTCCATTTTATAATTTCCAAGAATGGTAATTTCCCTTTGACATTTTCTACCAAACAAGTAATGTGGGCATCTTTCTTTTGCTTTGTATCATTCACCAGTAAAACAGCCAAGACTGGGAACATTTTTTTTAAGGGTATCACGATCACATGAGGCCTACTAATCCTCCTCCTCCCAAGCCTTAGACATAAAACATGGCAGATGCGATGCAAAAGATGAAAGCTGTCTAGATCTCCCTAAATTACAACCAATACTTTGGACACACAACAAAAGTAATGTGGGAGTTGCAGCTTTGCCATTAAGTAATCAACCGAATTTGCATTTCCCAAACCAGTTAATTAATTATAAGGGGCACATATATATGACCAACAACCTTATAAAGCCAGATTTATATGCTATATATGTGCATGCTTGCTCTAAACCATCAAATTGTCTAATCAACATGGAAAGAAAAGGCCGGATTCTAAATAATTTGTTTTGGAAAGTGGAAAAAAGAAGACTTTAAAATTTTGTTCTGCTTAAGCTAAATTAGTTAGAAATGCACTACTTATGTGGAAGGACTTAGAAAATGACCTCTGAACTTTCAAGTCATTTGTTCAGTTTCTTTGTAGTTTTGAATAGCTCATTGTAGTCTTCTCGCAATGTTTTTTAACCTCTCTTAGAAATAAAATCTTAGATTTGAGACTTGGAATGGCCTCCATATCCAAACATAATATAATAGATGTTTCATCATTTGAGCTATCTCAAATAACTTTATAATTTTAACTTTATTGACAGCATTTTTTGTACTTTTTTAAAGGAATGCAGGATACTATTGGTTTACTACTTTTTACCTTTCTTTTTAACTCCAATTCACTACAACTACTGACTCTCTACTCCAGAAACCATATAGAATCCCATCCATGAATGTTGGAACAAATAAAGGAGAATCCCATGAACCCCCGATCTTTCCTTTGTTACGGTATGGAGATAACAATAATTACCAGCGTCCCTTCAAAGCAAATACACATGTATGTACGTGTGTGTAGCCCCTTATGCAAAGGCATTCCCATTTGTTTTTCAAAATATGGGGATTAGGTGTGGGGTTCACTCCACATCGAATTTTAACGATCCGAATCGTCTATTTTGTAAGTCTCGATTCATAGATCAATATTGCAAAAATTCAATTCAATCTGAAACCATTTGCTTATTTAATTATCAAGATAAAATTTCATTGTTTCTCAATAAAATTTTCGATTTAGCTAATATTTTGCAAATATGATTTATAAGGTGCAACTTGAAAAATAGATAGTTCGAATAATTAAAGTTCCATGTAATTTAAGTACCACAACTAATTCTTATTTTTATAAAAAAAATAGGGATTCTTTCTCTTAAAATTTTTCTCTCTCTCTATATATATATTTCCGCTGTTTTTAGAAACCCAATTCATCATCTTCTATTATTGTTGGAGGCCCATAATTCACGCAACATTAAAATATAACCAAGCCCTGTCACTGTCTCTTTACAGATTACCCCCATAAAAATCGGAAATACTCGTCCCACAGATAAAAGCAAATGGGACATCACTTTGTAATGTTCGTCACTGGTTGGTTATACTTCTCCATTAATCATTACACTATTGTTTCTGATCAATCAACAATCGGCTTGGTGCTCCAGACCCTTGGCACTAATATATCTCAGCTTTGGCTTGCTCAAGCCCAGCCAAACCCTAGTTCTCACGTCATCAAACCTCCTAACCATTGGCTCCCACGCATTTTTCATATGGGCTATTGACACGTGTCCTTAGTGGATCCCAGCTAGTCTCTTGTTTCTTCGTGACTAAGCTTAAATATCGAGTTTTTTTGGGGACCCACCGACGGCTACGTCACACCAAGTGTGGTCCTTTAGGGAATTGGATCCTCTCTGAGCACAAGGAGCGGATCTTCTTGATCAACACACGTGAATCGTTGAATTTTCATCTAACGGCTATAAGTATTATAATTTTAAAAGAACATTCTTACTTGTAGCTATTAGATAAAAGTCTAACGATCCATATGTGTTGATCAAGAAAATTCGTTCGTTGTGCTCAGAAGAGGATCCAATTCCGTCTCTTAGAACCCTAACTCTAATTAAGGCCCCACGCTCTATAGTGCCACCTGACTCAAGCAAAGCCCTGTACATATACGGCTTACTTAAGCAATACGGTTTTGGACAAAAGTACCCTTGGTAACCCAACTTAATTTCACCAATTGGTCACTCAGGTTTGGCTTTAAATATGAAGCCCCAACGCTTCGTTCCTTCCCTTTCCTCCTCCCCCCTCCCTCTCTGTCTAAATTACAAGTTCAGAGAGTTTTTATTGTAGCAACCATGTTTTCTGCTGTTCCAGCCATGCTTCCCTCTGACTCCCTCCTCCATTTTCCCACTTTCGACGGGGGCTTTATCCCCGACGGCTTCACCCCGTGGGATTGCTCGGAGCATTTTCCGGCAATCCCATCACCACTACCCGTGATCTCAACCCTAAGTTCATCTCCGGTTCAGTCTCCCAAAACAGTAATTTTGAGTTCTGGTTCAGATGACGACCCGAACCGGCCGGACCGGACCCATGCCAATGCGAAGTCATGCCAAAATGACGACTCGAACCGTAGAGTTTCGGTGGTGGACGAGCGGAAGAGGAGGCGGATGATATCGAACCGGGAGTCGGCCAGGCGGTCACGGATGCGAAAACAAAAGCACATAGAAAACCTAAGGAACCAGGTGAACCGGCTTAGGGTTGAGAACCGGGAACTGAACAAACGGTTGAGGATCGTTTTGTACCATTTTCAGCTCGTACGGACAGACAACGATAGGCTCCGATCCGACCACGTTATGCTCCTGCAGAAATTGTCAGACATACGTCAAATTCTGGTTTTCCGGCAGCACTTGTCTTCTGCATGGCCATGCGATACCATTATTCTACAACAAACCCCATATTTAATTAAGTAATTTATTAGACTAGTACTAGTAATATTATAAGTAGCAAAAAACCTCATTAATTTCTCAAAACAAGAACAATGAGCCATGATCCTCTCTCTCTCTCTCTCTCTCTCTCTCTCTCTCTCTCTCCCCCTCTCCCTCTGTAAATTATATATAAAAGCTGCTAAGTGAATGGTGGGGTTATGTCTTATGGTGGTGATTTTTGCAAAAAGGAAAAAGTAGGGTTTGGAAAATCATGGTTTTCGTTGGAAAACCTTTTGGGTTATTTATTACAATATATTTTGTAAAAATATTAGGCAACTAATGTTTTGTTTATGGAAGCATTTTGTAGTATTTCTTTTTTTTCTTTTTTTGGAATTGCCAAGTCTCAATCGTTTTTTTGTTTTTTCTTCCTCTCAACTACTAGTCTACTTTAGTACGTAAGGCTACAAATTAGTGTCGGTCGCGCACAAATAATTCCCTCTCTATGCAAAACGCTGAAACGTGCCAATGTGCTGCCAATGTTTTTCCATTTTATATCATGCAGATTGGGTTCATAAGTTAATTAATTAATTATACTATGATGTTGGAGCTCTTTTGGATAATTGGTATGCACGAGAGAACTAAACTTGAAATGGACAAACGGGAAAAGAAATTACAAAGTTGCGAACGAATCTCTTCAAAGAATAAAAGAAATTACAAACGAATATTCTAAGGGGTTAATATTGTCTTTAAAACATATAGACCACTTCAACAATAAATAGAGATGCCAAAATCACTAGTCAAGCAATGGACTATTACTTTTTAAGGAGTTCACTTTTTGAATAGTGAGCAATGTCTTTACTCATTTAGGGGAATGTTGGTTATCAAGCATTCAAAATGCAAATCCAATGAAATCAAGGAAGAATTATTCATACTTAGCAATATTTTTGTTTTTCCTTTGTTGTGTTATCATACGCTCATTTAATATTAATCGCACAATTTCTTACAAATAAGATCCACTTATGTTTGTTTATATAATGATCATTGCTACAAATGGTGGATTGTCTTAGTGATTAGGGTCTTTTTTTTTTAATTAATTGTGTTACAGTATCAAACCCTCCCACTTCGGCTCCTTAAAAATAGAAATATTGTTTGTATTAAATATATGTCTATGGTGATAGAACAACCAATACTTACCTAACAATATCTTTGTTCGTTCGAGAATTCGAAGAAATAATTATTGGTTAGGATTCAGAATTTATTAAGAGTAATATCATCATACTATGTAATTTAGTATTTATCGTATTGGTCAATAATTACAATCGAAGCTTCAATTTTCACATCTAAAATTGGTTAGTCCACCCACTAGTTAATAGAAATTTCTATTACTAAAACAGCTCTAAAGTAATTTTCGAAAAGAAACTTCGACCAACATAAATCCAACAAATTAATATGAAATGGCAAGAAAAAAGGAACTAAAAGAAAACTCATGGACTTCAGTGTAACAAATGTGTCTCTAAGATTGTCATTATTCTATATTCTTCTTTTTACATATATTCAAATTTTAATCTTAAGCAAGTACATACCTTCACTCTCTTGAATTGATTGATTTTGGATTAAGTGCAAAGAAAATGAGAGCTTTGGTGGAAAAATAAAGTGATTTAAGGACTTTAATACTATATTTTGAGGAGAAGGGTGCCACAAAGTTTGTTTTTCTCTGAATTTTTTATTAGAAGTTGTGATCAGTGATGCAATCCAATCAGTGTATCACAAAAAAGAATGATGATCCTCTCCAGATACTTTTTGTGAGGATTTCTGGAATCCTCCGATAATGTCTATTCATCGTACATTGTGTGGTCAGTTTTCGGTAGATATTATTTATATTTAATTTTAAATAAAAAATTTAAGTAATTTCTGATCGCACGATGTACGATAAACAAATGTAATTAGAGAATCCTCATAATCGTCACAAAGAGGATACGGAGAAAATCCTCATTCCACAAAAAAAAGGGAGCCATCGTCACCCCATATTAAGTACGTTTTATTGAGTAAAAAATATTATTTAAAAGCAACACAGACAGAAGATAAACCTTCTTACCTTTTATTTTTGTATCATTTATCTGCTGATAAATTGTGCTATGCTACTGAGATGACACTTTACTAAGTTTGTAGTCTATAACAAGCGGTGGGCAAATCCCCCAATCTCTCAACAAAACGGATCAAACCGGATAGGCTGGTACACTTTGATCTGCTCTCCCTACATAATTTTAAAATTTTTGGCAAAACCATGGAACCAGACCAGCTGGCCTGGCTCAAAACTGATAACAGTATAGGATCAATGGATGAAATAGTGCTGTGTCAATAGATTACATAGTCTGATATAAGTTTGTTAGAGTGTTAGCTTAGCCTATAAGGCATTACAATGTATACATATAGTGTAATGTACTCCCTGTAAGATCATTGCGTAATACATAAACTCTTTCTTCTTCCTCAAATCTAATACTTTCTCTCTCTAAAAATCTCTTATTGTTAAACATTACTGCAACTGTTATGATCCAAGTTATTACTGAGGTTTATGCTTTATTAATGTGAGGAATTGTTAATATGCCAGCTGGCATTTAAAAGTGTAGAGGCTGTATAAAAAGAGCGCAGCTCCGTCAAATGTATCAGATCAGAATTTACAAGAAAGAAATCAAAATACAAAAATATATTGGAGCTTGCTCCTTCTCTCCTTCCCTCTTCTTCCATAACTTTCTTGTGCTACTTGCAGGTTGATTAAGGGAATTGAGAATTGGGTCGTATCAATGGTATCATAACAATGGTATCATCCTTTTCGAATCCTGGTTTCCCTCCTGTGCACACCCACCCGACCCGTCTTCCTACCATGGATGCATGACTCTCCGCTGCAATCGACTCATTTGAAGCTTTGATATGTGCTGCGATCCGTGATGCGATCCGTGAAGCTATGGATTCTGCATTCATCGCCATTCACAAGGCTGTGAATCCTGTACTCGTTGAAATCCGTAGTGACCTTGCTCAGTTACACCGTGACTTGGCTCTCGACGTCAAGGGAGATTCTAATCCAGCCTCGTTGTGTTCTGATGAAGCTGCATCGATTGAGGTCGGTCACCAAAAACCTCACAACGAAGATGGCAACCCATTTCGAATTCTATCGACAATCCACGACCATTCTATTCCGCCATTGCTCTCATCTTCACAGATGTTGTGAACACTGGCAAATTTGACCGTCAAGCCACATTCGATAATCTTGCTTCCGGAATCGAAGATGATGATCTCTGCTCTGCAGCTACTCCATAAGCACTCGTTCTCTGATAGTACGAAAATTGGACCTGAGGTAGTTCTTAATTTGAGTATCATTTCAGCAACTCCGGAGGCTAAGTTCCCTTCTCTTATGAATGATAACTATGGTGTATACCTGAAAGATAAATTTGGATGGGTTAATTAGTATCTTGTGGGTAAGTTTGTGAAGAAGGATCTGTGTACATCTACCCTATTTGATGAAATGTCTAAGAGACGGGGTGACGAAAATATGGGAAGACTCTTCGATTTCATTTACTATCTCATACATCACCTACAAAGGCTTATTCCTTGTCATATCACCTCCAATCTCAATAGTGCTTGTGCAAACCAGTTGACTATATATGAGCCATCCCTCTATGTCTCTGTTGCATCTTAGTCATTGTGGAGAAATCGATATGCCTTGGTATATTTAAAGCTCTTGACATATGGTTATTTAGCTCTCAACTTGTCAGGGTCCTGCATCAACAACAATATTATGAATACTCTTAGTGGAGCAGTAATTGAATATAGGTGTGAATCATATCCAAGGTTTTCAGGTCATCCCTGAAGGGTTGCATCTGTGCAACTTCGCCGACATGTTTCTCACAGATGTTGGTTTTCCTATCTGGAGCAGCTGATCTTAAAACATGGTTTTGCTGCTAGTGCCATATGGATGAAACAAATGGTTAAAGAAATTTCTTATTGTTGGAAATGTGCCCTAAAACCAATCATGTGATGATACTTTACGGACATTTCACATGTTAAACTAATCTAGTTTAATATAAAGGGCAAAGATTATTGTTTGAGCCGTCTCATATAAATGTTATATGCTTAAACGATAAAGTCCAAGGAATATGTGATTGGAAGAATGTAATCTAATGAAGTTAGATTCATGAGACCATTCTTTTGTAGACACATCCTAAATGTTCCTGATCATAGGATTGCCAATTGGGCATTGACAGTCCGTCAAGATCGGTACGTGCTATGTCTTCTCTCAGGGAGAGTGACTAGTCTCGAGTCATTGGTGTGTGTGACATCAAGACAAGTACGTAGGTGCTCAGTAGAGAATGAGTTCACTGAACGTGATCAACGAAGAGTTCTCATACTCATGTCACATGAGAACTCATGTTTGGGATAATGCAAATTAGTCCTTTGACCTGAGGCATCACAGTTGTCTTGTGGTTAAGTCCTTGATCTTTGATTATGTCAAAGTCACCCCATCGGGGTGTCCACGGCATCGTTGGGGTTAAGCCACTTAGTCATGGAGGCAAGTGAATGCGCAACAAGGGATCTCTAACCTTCAAACCGTTTGAGGGAGAATACTCTATGATATGATTTAGAATCTCTGGCCAGAGTATGAATGAGATTTAGAAAAGTCGTTCTAAATCACATTCAATGAAATCATATAAGCACACGAATCACATTGGATAGTAGACATGAATAAATAAACTATCAAACCAAACAATGTGGTCAGGAGTATTAGATTAGAGAAAGACCGTATTGCATTTGTAATCCCAAACTGAATAGGTTTTCTCTACCTCTTCTGATTAGCTTGGGTAACCATGATATGCTGCAAGGTGTCACTCATGGTTTGTGGAAGCCCTAAACGTGTGTAATCACTAAAGGGAGAATTGAAAGTAAGTTTCAATTCACAATCGATTTGAAATGGTTTTAATCGCCCACTGCCTCGCTAAAAGGAACCTAATGGATCGCACACCATAAGAGGTGGAGATTGGAGATTAAACGGAGATGAGTAAGAATGATTAAATGGTTTAATCATTTATTTATGGCAAGGATTAATTAATATGTTAATTAATCAAACGAATAAGTTCGTTAAAGACCTCGGGATAGGTTTTGGACCTTAAGGCCCAATGGGCTTCGAACGTCAAGCCCATTGACTTAAGTTGTATGACAACTTAATGAATAATGATTCACTAAGACCCAAAAGCCCAAACAACACCCCATGGCCGGCCATTTAGAGGAAGGGTAGTGAACTTGCTTTAATTACAAGTTTGCCACTCAAATGAATAAAGGTATAAATATGACTTTATAGCCTTTTATTCATTAGGGTT